TGGAATTTCTTGGTGGTAGATAACAGGAGCCATGGTACACGCAGTGTAACTCTAAAAAACCTCGGTATATTTGGGTTCGGAACCCAATAATCTGTCTTATCCCGAGTTTCGCCTGAAAAAAAAGTTCACCCGAAAATTTGTTATCCGCCCATACTAAAACCATGGAAACCAAGAGTTAAAAGTGAACCGGTTCGGGGAAAATTAAACTCATGATAAGGCTTAATATAAATTCGAGGTGGGCGCGAGATCGGTATTGAATATTTAGTAAGACAATTGTCTATTCTGGCAACTATCTTAAATGCTATTTACTGTCTTTCGAAAAACTAATTGAAAAATAAACTAACGAGGGAGGAGGTCTTAGCGGTATGCCGTTCGCCTTTTAAGCTTTTTTAATTAAATTAAATTTGAGACACTTCGCTTAAAAAAATCAAAAGTAATAAATAAAATAAATTAAAAAAAAATAAAGCAAAAATAAATAAATATTTAAAAAATTGAATTAAATTCAAACGAAATTTTTTTCTTAATTAATTATAAAGAATAGCCCTGTCAACTGTGACTCTCAAAAAAATAACAATTCTAGTAGGTTCTTAATTCTTGCGGTCATCGAACCAGTCGAGAGAAGGAAGCGGATGCGTCAAGGTTTTTTCCCTTTTTGTCATACGAAGCTATCGCTCACATTGCAATAAAATGCCCAAACTACATACATATACATACGTATATGTTTACAGTTAAGCAGGTTTCAAAAAATTAACCCGCTGGTGAAGGGATTTCAGTTATTCGAATGGCTTACGCGTAAAACGGAATTTGTTTTGTGATGTACAGCCAAGGTTAACATCCTTTAAATTGCAATGTACGACTATACAGTACGTATATACATATATCTACATACATATGTACATGTGTGTAGATATATGCCTTTGAAGAATGAATGCCTTGAGAAGCACTCAGATGATAATAAAAAATGTAAGCAAACTTCTTTATATATTAATATGTAACGACTGGACCGGATTGAGTTAGTGTTTCGATAGCAGAATGTGAGGAAATCAGAGCAAACATTGACGCGTTAAAAAATAAACAATAATAAAAACAAATAAATAAATAAAATAAGTTTAAAAAAAGAAATGTAAATGATTTACAAAAACTTGATAAAAAAATTGTTGAAAAATGCAAGCGGCCAGCGAGTGCAATAAAATAATTGTACATACATAGTTTACAGCAATATAAAGAGCAAGAATACAAAAAAACGCCGTTTTATTTTACATACTATGAATACTTAATTTGTTTTTATGCGCTGCGTCTACTGGTTTTTCGGGGCGACGAATTTTTTTGATGTTAAATCTGCGAACGTACGCGTACATACAAATATCGAATCTACAGCGTTGCAACGCTCTGTGTAGGATTACAGTAGACGACTTTGCAGACCAGCGAGAAATTTATTTCTTTTACTCTTATTTTATAAATTTTTTTACTTTTTATTTTATTTTTGGACAGTCGTCTTATTGAATGCCGAAATCTGAAAAAAGGCAGCCCAATAAACTGATATCGCTTGAAATTACAATTGACGATGCGCTGTTGGCGACAATTCTTCGTCTTCAATTTTTGCGTTTCTTGTGTGTTGTGTGGTTCATTGTCGGTGATTGCTGTTGTGGTTGTTTTGGCTTTTGTGGTTGCGTTGCTGCGCCTGCAATAACACCAAATGCAAGCTTGTTGCGTTCGCTCGCTTTCTACAATTGCTACAACAATCGCTGCAGCAATAGCAGCAACAGAATAAACGACACACACACTAATGAGCGAATACAGTTGCGGCAAAATAATTAGGGACGCGAAATTTTAGCAAGTTTTGGCTATTTTTCTTTTGTTCATTTATGTAGCGTTTATTATTTTTTATATATGTAAGTATAGCTCCCTGTCTTAACAAATACCATTAAAAAATTACGAAAATTCGAAAACATTTCATCAAAGTTTCAAAATTTTTTCACTGATTTTAACCTTTCCTTGTAACCGCCTAAGCGATTTTGGCCGAGTCCAAAACAGCACTCCAGTCATTTCTCTTCTGTGCCAACTGACGCCAAGTGAAGCCAAGTCCTTCTCCGCCTGTTTTTTCCAACGCAGAGGAGGCCTTCCTATTCTTCTGTTACCAGCATCGCGGCACACGTTGAGTACTTTCAGAGCATGAGCGGTATTCGCCATCGCCAACGCGCAAAGGTCCGTAAATATTTCGCAGAATCAGAAACAGTGACGTGTGTGCCAAGTCGCGTATGCTCTGACCGTTTGTGTGATGACGGGGGATACCTCGTTTTGTCCTCGTCCATTCGCTTTGCTTCTCTATCTAATCCCGAGAATGCAGTACAGACGTAGCCCTTGTTTTTACCGATAATATCGATGTCATCGGCATACGCCAGCAATTGTACGCTCTTGTGCCTGAGCGGTTCAGTTCTGCGGCTCTTATCATCTTCACCATTATCAGATTAAAGAAATTGCACAAAAGGTAGTCACCTTGTCTGAAACCTTGTTTGGTATCAAACGGCTCGGAGAGGTCCTTCCCTATTCTGGAGTTGGTGGTATTGTTCAACGTCATTTTACACAACCGTATTAGTTTCGCGGGGATACCAAATTCAGACATCCAGGCATAAAGACAACTTCTTTTCGTGCTGTCGAAAGCGGCATTGAAATCGGCAAATGGATGTTGAGTGTCGATCCTATTCTCGCGGGTCTTTTCTAAGATTTGGCGTATTGTGAATACCTGATCTATGGTGGATTTGCCAGATCATTTACGGTGGTGACTTTCACACATTACTCTCGATAAGACTTTGTAACCTATGCTTAGAAGGCTGATTCCGCGGTAGTTGGCGCGAATGGCGGGGTCGCCTTTTTTGCGGATTGCGTAGAGCACACTTGAATTCCAGTCGTCGGGCACGTTCATCTGACGATATTCTGCATAAGAGCTGATGCATGCACCTCATCAGCTCCTCGCTGCCGTACTTGAATTGCTCGGCTGGCAGGCCGTCAGCTCCAGCAGCTTTGTTGTTTTTCAGCCGCTTAATCGCTATTCGTACCTCTCATAGTCAGGCGGTGGGACATCGACTACATCGTCATCGACTGCCGGCTCGGGTTCGTCTTCAGAGCTGCTGTCATTCATTAGGGTGGAAAAGTGTTCCCCCCATAATTTAAGTATGTTCTGGACATCAGTTCTAGGTCGCCATGGTTGTTCCTAAAGGAATTCGCCCTGGTCTTAAAACCTTCCGTAAGTCGCCTAACTCTCTGATAAAACTCACATAGTTCGGCCTCTCTCTTCTGCTTAATTTCGAATTTACCCTACAAAACTGCGTACCTGTTTGTTTTTATTCCGAATAAAAATTTTGAAATTCCTCGAATTTTTATAAATCTTGTACGAAGTTTGTTATTTAGTGTGCATTCCGAAACGTCAAAATACAAAGCATAAGTCTCTTTTATTTCTAAACCGCTCTAGAAAAAAAGTCTAATTGAAAACTAACATCTAACCGTGGTTGCACACATTTTGCATTATAATTTACTGAAGTTTAGAAATAAAAAAGTAATTTTTAGCAAAAAAAAACCGACTTAAAAAAAAAATATATATATCTATATATTTCATGATCCAATGATCGGATCTAAACCAAATTAGTATGGGACCACCTCTGAGACACTACCTTTCCGTTGCAAGAAGAATTACTGAAATCGGTTGACGTGGTGCAAGTTATGCGGTAACATACATAAAAAAAAAAAAAAAATATTCCGACGAACTGATAACCTCCTCCTTTTTTGGAAGTCGGTTAAAGAGACTGATGCTTTGTATTTTGACGTTTTGGAATGAACGCTTAATTTGACTTCCATGGTTTTTGTTTGATAAAGAGCTATGATTTTATCAAAAAAAATAATAAACAATAAAAAATAAAGCAAAAGTAGCCGAAATTGTCGCGTCCCAATTTGTTTTCCCACCACTGTACATACTATGGATGTATGCAATGCCTTTATTAGTTTTAAATTCATTCGTCGCTCAGCTCAAATCAATTGATACTCATTTTAAATACTAACTTGTATACATACATACATATGTACATACATACATCTATGTAATATACATATGTACACGCCTACTTAAGCAGTATGCGTGTATATACGTTAGAATGGTCCAAAACTGCATGTGAAAAAGTAAAGTCGGAATTTTAATGCCGCCACCCCCTAGGATTGTTATACATATCTCGAAAAAATTATACCCCTATTTCTTTATTTTGAAATAAAAAATAAAAATTAGTGATTGCTCAAAGCGCTTAAAGTTTTTCATGTATTTTATAGGGGGGAAAAAAACAACTTTTCGTAGAAACAGTGTAAAATTCTTGAAAATCAATATTTCTCGAAAACTCTGTTTCTATTCAGGAGATTCCCAATAATAATACGCAATTATTTCTGTAACCATTTTTTCATGGTAACTATAATTTATAGGTCCCCCAGAATATGTAATGGGGGTCCAATAAAAAATGTTTATCATTAAAAAATGCTTAAATAAACAATTGGGTATTAATATTGGAAGCTTTCTGAAGAGAACCACAGTTTTCCGATCGAAAAATATTGATTTTCAAGAATTGTATGACATTTCTACGAAATTTTTTTTCCCACATATAAAATACATGGAAACTTTGAGTGCTTTGAGCACTCCCAAAATATTTTTTGATTTCAAAATTAAAAATAGGGGTATATTTTTTCGGTATAGAACAATCCTAGGGGGTGGCGGCGTTGAAATTTCGACTTTACTTTATTGGACCACTCTAATGTACAATGCCGCACGTACTTAAAATTTGCATTCTTTTCACATCTCTTTTTCTTACGTGTTTGAAGTTAAACATTTTTTGTAAATGCCGCAAAACAGATTTTTTCACAAAGATAGAGATAAAGACATCGTCCTAAATGTGGCACATAAGTAAACACACACAAAAAAAAGAACAAAATATTAAGTGAGAAATAAACAGAAATTATAAAAATATATACAAAAGTATACAAAAGTATACTTACTATACCACTCGTCGCATTGCTTATGGGTGAAAATATTCAACAATTTACAATAATACGATACTTAAAGCCCCAAATAAGTGCTCTAAAGTGTAAGGAACCAGTTGGTCAGTGCGTAGCAGCCGGTCAAATAAATAAATACCAAAAATAAACATTAAAAATATTTAGCATCAAGTGTTCAACGACACACACCTATGTACATTGATACATATGTACATATGTATGTATGTAGTACATTTATTGAACGCCAGCAATTTTTTTGCCTTACTCGTCATCGCCCTCGTTGCCGTCGTTATCATTGCTCTCTTCACAGCAAGCAAACACGGACAAGTGCCTAACAATGCGTTTCACTTACAATCAGTATAATTATTCCGAATCCGGTTATCGGATTGCGTCCAAGATGCACAACAACAATGCTGGTAATGGTCCAACGGCGGCCGCATATCAACATCACCACAGGAGTAATTTTGGTAAGCCACAACGCCAACTACTAACTTAAGCGTATTTTTTGGGTTCGCTTTTGTGGGGAATTAAATATTGTTTACTTATTCTTATTATATACTATGTGGAATTGGAAAATTGTTTGAATGTTAAGTTTTAATAAGAATTCTGTACTCTTATTGCCTTTTTAAAAACCTTTCATAAAATTTTTTACCTCCCTTTTATTAGCTC